ACTGCGTACTACCTGAATAATTACTTTTTACTGAACTACACACCTTAGTTTTCTTATCATGCACGGAAGATTAAAATCAAGTGTTTTCTAGGTGTTGCTTTCTTGTTTTGCTCTCTAATGAAACACCTTTCAAGCACATTTAAATAAACTGTGAAAAAGGAAGGTTACAAATATAGCTCTAAGGGATTGGGGAAGTTGGTTAATTAAGATTTATTGCAAAGATTCCTAATTATGAGAGTCATAGTCTTAACTCTATAATCTTATTTATACAACTGGAATAAAATAATCAAGGAACATTCCTCCTAACTACAGCTGTTATTTTATGTGATTTGGAAAGACCTTTCTTAAAGCATTGGTTTAATTATAAACAGACAGCAAACAATTAAGTCAGGATTGTTTAATGTGGTTTTCTTAATATTTCTTAAATATGAGAAAATAAACTCATTGGAAAGAAAAGGCAAACCAGTACAAACTTCCTCTTTAGTTTCATGTCCCACACTATGCATACTTATAGTAGAAAAGCATTACTAATACAATTATCTATAATTTTTGTTGTCTAATATTTTTCTTCCATGCTCATACAAGTATGACATTTTCATGAACAATTTTATTATTCTGTTTTCTTTTCTCCACCTGTGGTTCTTGCAGTGTATCACTGTCTTCTAATAAATGGTTGATTTCCTAACTTGTTTCATCTATTTTACAGACAACAAATTTTATATTAACTTTTTAGATCCTCACCCTAAACCTGTTTTACCTTTGTGAAATATAAAATATACACATATAATATATAAAACATACATTATACATAATACAAAAATACATATAATATAAAAATTATCAGGTTATGTTTGTGTGTGTGTGTGTGTGTGTGTCAATACATTAACAGTCTAGTTCCTCAATTTCTCAAACCTTGTGTTGTTCCTTTTATTTAGAATTCCTTCTTTTTCTCCAAGGCTCATTTTGCCTTATCACATTCCACTCACCCCTCAGAACAGAACCCAAACTAATTATTACTTTCTTGGGAAGATCTAGTCTTATCCTCCAGCATTCTGGGTTTCTCTTTAGCTGAATTTACACAGTAATAATTACATTTTGTGTGTGAAATTATTCATTATTGGCCTTTCCAGATGCTAAAGTTCATGAGGGCCCACTAGACATTCTACAAAATAATATACTCAAAAATATGTTGAATGTATTGTCAATTTCTGAATTGTACTTATCACTGTCCATTTGGCATAAATTAATGATATGGAATCTACAGAATAAAAACCAAACCATTTTTCTGTGGTTCCTTTGATCCAATGAAGTTGTGATATATATCAGATAACTATGGGAATTGCCTCTCATTCACTTGAAATAGAAAACTTTCTCAAAGACACTCCAAGTGAAGTGACAGTAGATCCTTTCCTCTATTTGAGCTGTGAAATTATCTTATTAAAGGCTTGTACACAATGATGACAATTGAGATTTGGTTCTAGGACACTCAGGTTTTTATAAACTCTTTTTAAATTCAACACTGAGTCCTGCCCATTTTGAATAACATGTGGCATACTCACAAATTTAATTATTTCATATCTTACCCTTGCCTGGAACATCTGCATTTTCACAGATGTGATTCTCTCAGAATTTCAGACACAAAGAAGCTTTTTTGTTATCATCACATGGGGGTAGATGTTCAGACATAAGGCTGGCCATCATATTTTATTAAGTATATATGTGGCAGTTTTAGTTGAGGATTTTTATGTATTTTCCAACAAAATTTAAATATATATAGATTCTTAATTACTATTTTTATCTACAATAAAGTCAAACTAACAATAATTATTTTTTAATATTTTTCAACTAGGATATACTGGTGAGGGTTATTTAATGATATCATCCTTTCAGAACAAATAGTCTCAATATGTGAATACATATTGTATTTTATTTCAAGATCAATATATGTCTTATATACATTAATATACTTTTAATGAAATAGCTCATTTTAAAATTGAAAACCAACTTATATTCTATTCTAATGAGTTGAAAAGTAGACTAAACTGTCTTATAATCCTAGAATGAAAGGATATTGTATCTGTTTGAAATTATGTAAATATATTTGTATTTTCACATTAAGTTGTTTTTTTTATGTCCTAAATTTAATTATTTTCACCCCATAGCTAAGAATGGTTATACTGGGATGGATATATATATTTTTATATGTATATATATTTTTTATATGTATATATGTATTCTATATGTATATGATATATAGTATATATACATATGTGTGTGTGTGTGTGTGTGTGTGTGTGTATTTTTCTTTTTTGGTTCCAGGGATAGAACCCAAGGGTACTTAACATTAAACCACATACCAAGCCCTTTTTATTTTTTTTTATTTTGAAGTAGGGTCTCACTAGGTTTCTTGCTAATTTGCTGAGATTGGCTTTGTACCTTTGATCTTCCTGCCTCAGCCTCCAGATATGCTGGGATTATAAGTATGTGCCACTTTACCTAGCTAACTGGCTTATACTTTTGTTTTAGGTGACAGCAATAAAGGTCTCAGAAATAAACTGCTAAAGCAGAGAATATCAGAAGACCCTAATGTGCTTTTCAATGATGACACAGTTAACAAGGTTTTATACCTACTAAAAGAGAATGGGCAATAAAAAAAAAAAAGAAAAAAAGAAAATGAGAATTCCATTTTGAACAAATTTAAATCAAATCCTATGATGTAAAGCTATTTTTCAAATGAAAGAGGAAATTTCTTAGTAAATACAGAAACTATAGTTGTACAATAGTATTTGGCTTTGCTTTATTTTTTACAGGCATTTCTGCAGATTATCAGCAAGTGGCTTTTCATGTATTTTGAATTAACTTCACATCTATTTCATATGCTTTTAGTAAAATTCTGAGGTTTCCTTCCCATACACTTTGTAGGTTCAAATAATCATAACATTTTTAACTTTGTGTTGTAAAGAAATTTTAGGTTGAAAGAAATTTGTAAACTAAATAAAATAGGAAAATCCTTTACATCCTTTGTCCAGCTTCTTCCAATGTCAACTATTTGCATAGTACAAGAAAACTGAAAGTTGATATTAGTACAATCCAGATTGTTTGTGTAGTATGTGTGTGTGTGAGGAGGCGTAACTCTATGCATATTATGACATACATAGCTTCCTGAAACTACCACCACAATCAAGATATACAAATGTGTTATCCCCAGAGGGCTCCTTCCCACTATCCCTTTATATCCCCATCAGTCTCCCCCAAATCTCTAAACTCTGGCAAAATCACCAATCTGTTATTCTCCATCTCTACAGATATGCTATTTTAAGAATGTTCTAAGAGTAGAATTACATAGTATGTATCTTTTCAAAATTAGTATTTTCAATTAGCACAGTATTTTGAGGCCCATCTAACTTGCATGTATCAATACTTGATTCATTTTTAATATTTAGTAGTATTTGAACACATTCAATTTGATTTTTTAAAAACAACTATCTGCTGTTAGATTAAATTTGGGTTGAATTGTGCACATCCTTCTTCCCCTTAAAATTCATGTGGAATTCCTAAACTTCAGCACCATATGTAGAGATAGGGCATAAAGAGTAATTAAGGTAAAATGAGGTTCTATGAGAGAGACCTAATACCTGACATGTTTATAAGTAAAGTATATTAGAAAAATCTTGTGAAGGTGTGTGAGAAAATAGTCACCTTTATATATACCAAGGGAGACGTGTCAGAATGAAATCAACCCTGCTGACAACTTGATGTTGGACTTTGAGCCTACAAAACTGTCAGAAATAAATGTATCCTTTTTATGTACATATAAATGTATACTTTTTATGTACATACACATACATACACACACAGTATGAAAGTTGTATTTTTATGTTGTGTTTGCTATTACTTTCCCTAGCAAACTAAAATGGTGCATAAAATTAGTTTTGTCTTTATAAATTTATATCATATCCATGTGCTCATTTATAATACCTTTCATTTTAGGAGGTGTTGGGACTGAATCCAAGTCCTCATACATGCTAGGCAAGCATTCTACCACTGAGCTCAATGTATAGCCTTATTCATAAAACCTTCTGCTGTAAGGTAATCACTCATGTATCCATATAATTTGTAAACACACCTTTAAAAAAGTTTCCTTTTTATCTCTGAAGCTTTTCCTATATCATGTTCAAAAATATTATGTATACACATAAAAATCATGAAAGTTTTTGTGGTTGACAACAGCACAATAAAAAAATTTATAGGGTTATAAAGGGAATATTTAATTGAATTTATAAGATTTTTAAAAGTTTATTTTTCACTATAAACAAACAGTATTTGCATATTCTCTCTATATAACATTTATATATGCATACTGTGTGTATACACATATACATACACATATATACACACAGTATGAATTTTTGCTATTTTTTAGAGTGGATAAGGCTGGAATGCTTTTACAATATATAGAAGACTTGTAATTAAAATAACTTCTTACTATTTGCTTTTTTTGACATGGAAAAGGAATAGCAGCATGAGAGGCAATTAAAATTCAATTCATTTAGTAACATTATTTATGACTGATGTTTGATGTTTTATGGACTTATTAAAAGATATTGTTATATGATTATATTAAAAATAAACACATACATATTAGGGAGAAGCATTTTATCTTATTAACCTTATTGCTAAGAAGAATTTTCAAAAATATCATTGTGTGTGTTAAGAACAAGAACATAAACCAAAAATTCTTGTTTTGTCTTGCATAGCATATATGTTTGCATTGTGCCTAGGGTGTAGGTCCATCAGGGATACTGTGCATAAAAAGAAATCATGAATCTTTTTTAAAATGTTTTTTAATTAGATATTGATAGACTTATTTATTTATTTATATGTGGTTCTGAGAATCAAACCCAGTGCCTCGCACATGCTAGGCAAGTGCTCTACCACTTGAGCCACAACTCCAGCCCAAGGAATTATGAATGTTTTGAGAGAATAGCATTGGAACTTACCATCTTGATCCGTAGTCACTGTAATAGCTGTGAACGGTTTGGGAGAAAAACTCAACTCGGAAACTCCATTCATGGCTTCTATTTCAAAGGTGTAATTCACGTGAGACACAAAGTCAAGTACTACCACGGAATTGTTGATCAGGCCAGTGTGTCTTGGGATGAAGCGGAGTCCTCCACCACAGTCCTCACACTGGCTGGGGTCTAAGCCACATTTCTTACAGATTACACTGTATGTGAGATCTTTCCTCCCTCCTGTATCACTTGGTGGGCTCCATTCCAAAATAAGGGCTGTTTCATTGATGTTAAAAACCACATTCCTAGGAGCTGAAGGTGGCCCTAGAGAAAAGCAATTAAGAAAAAAACAAACAAATGTACATGTATAGGACAATCAATCATGCTGCTAAATTGAAAACTTCATCAACAAGTATTTGTTGGTCTTTTATAGCTCTTTCTCTAATAGAAATTATAAAGATTATATGATTAAACATATCTGATTATGCCTAGTGAGGAAAGAGTTTTTAGAAGGTGAAGGCAGTCTGTAGTCTAACTTTGGGTGTATGAATTCCAAAATTTAATGCCAAAATAGAAAATCTCCAAAAGATATGGTAACTATATTTCTCAAATTTGCTGACTGAAGAATATACAAAAAAATTATTTTTAATTACATGATGGCTTCAATTATTATCTTACTAAATATATCATTAACTTCAAAATTTGAAAAATTAAAAACATGCACATGCATAATACATGGTGTTCAGATTTTCAATCTTCATACTATGGCCAGTATGTAGCTAAAACCTCCATTTATTACCTTTAACAATCACTCAGATTCTGTTCTCCAAAGATTGAGAATAAATGAACATGAATTTAGAGAGGGCAGAAAATGAAGAAGAGAAATGGAAATTGGGGCAGCAGAAACCCTTTATGATTGCCTTGCCTATTTGAAGATATATAAGCATAATATGGCAGGGGTAAAAAGGAGCTATAAATAATATATGGTCAGGGTGGGGATGTGGCTCAAGTGGTAGCGCGCTCGCCTGGCATGCACAGGGCGCTGGGTTTGATCCTCAGCACCACATAAAAATAAAATAAAGACGCTGTGTCCACTGAAAACTAAGAAATATTTAAAAACACTCTCTCTCTCTCTCTCTCTCTCAAAAAAAAAAAAAAATATATGGTCACTAGACCTTCAATAAACACAAATAATTATGTCACTAAATGTCTGCCCCTAAAAGAAACGTGCACAATTCTCTTATCATAAATCAGCCTAAACCAAACTGTCTAGGAGTGAGCATTTTCTTCCTCCCTAGTTTTCCAGACAGATCACACTATGTAGAATCCTTAACAGCCTTTCATTAGCCCATCCTTTTAAAATTATGCCAATAATCATTTAGACTTATCTGAGTCCTTCAAACTTCAGTTTCCTATCATTCACTGATCATATGTTACCTGAAGGTCTATTCAGTGTCAGACACTGTGTTAAGGGCTGTGTGTGAAGCACCACTGAATTCATAGGCTGTGAGAGCAGAGCTTACAATTAATATTTTAAAAAATAACTCACTGTATAAGTGGCTGAACAAATAACATATTTGTGCCATAATTTGAAAGGATTTGTTTTAAGAAATCTAAATCAACTCTCTAAATTTCTGTGGCCAAGAAAATCTACTTAGAAAATGGAAAAGAGTTCTTCTGCAACATGCTCTCTAGAAATTAGAATTTTGCGCAGGCTTCTTTTGAAGATTTCAAGCTATAGTCATTCATTCATTAAATAAATATTTGTTTAGTGACTACTATGAGGTAGATAGTATGCTAGATTTTCAACTCCAAGTGGTAAAACATGGCAGACTTTATTATTTCTTTTTATTTACATTTAATGGACTGGTTAAACATATGCATATAAAAAACAAATGAAATGTAAATTATAAAAAATATAATCATAGAAATTAAAGGACAGGAATTGAAATAAAAACTTTCAGAAGGATTCCTCCTTTTGGTAACATTCTATGGAAGCCCTGTAGGTGTGAGGGGAAGGGTGTGCAGAAGAATGGGAGGAATGTTAGAAATTAAAAGGCTATCGTTTTTTCTGTCAGGAAAGATCTTTAAATAGTCATGGGACTGGCAGAAAAGCAATGTGGCTAGAGTATGTGGAATGAGTTTTATGGAACAGGAAAAGTCTATCTTATGCTGGACTACTAAGCTCACTGAAATGAACATGGAAATTTTCCTATGCACAACAGGAAGAAACAGATTTTATGCATGGAAGGAATGTGTTTTGAGAATAACATTTCAACTGCAATGGTCTGAATAAGAGGGGAAACAGCAGTGAGATCTGTTACTCAGAGTTAAAGTAGCATAATATTAGCTATAAATCCATGTGATTGGCTTTGAAGTATGAAGAAGTGTTATATTTTCCTTTTTCTTTCTGCTAGATCCTCATTTCAGCATCTGTAGGATAGGTTCCTCAGCCACCTGTATTCATGTTATCCACAGCTAGACCTACAAATGTGATGGGTAGTGTTTCTTAAAGGTGCTGGGTGTCTAGATTTATGCCATTTTGTATTTCAGAGGGTTTAGAGAAATGTCTGCCTCCAATAAGGAAAACATGGAGAAGTTAATGAACTTGAGCACAAGTGCAAAAGTGGTTTTTACCTTCAACCTAGACTTATGCCTGGGAGATAAAATTTCATTATCATTATCATAATAATGTCTTCCTACAGAATGACATATTCATATTGTTGGTTTTTCCTCTTATTTTTAATGGAAAACATGAATTATTATTCACTTATATCTCCACGACTAGGGAGAATGTTATCAATTATCTTATGGGTGTCTACAAGTATATAACCGTCTGCCTGGAGATACTTAGAAAAAAACAGAAAGACCGACACCCCTCTTACTCAAGGGCCCTCATACTAATTTGCATGACGATTAAATAGCTTTTTAATTGCTGTTAAATTATGCCAGCTAAACTGTGATTTCATGCAAATATTAAGCTGTAATGACATGCAGTGAATCATTTACTAAGATTTAGAACTTGGAACAAAGAGAGACAATTAATTCTAATCCTCAGATTCACTAAATTATGTGTCACTGGGCTTTTATGAATGTGGCCTGATTGCTTTGTTATCATTTATAAATTATACAAAGATTATGTGACATGTTGAAAAAATAACCTGGCAGAAATAATCCTTTTGGAGACATCTGTATTAAAAACTCTCAGGTATTTCCTCATGTGGATTTTTTTTTTCTTTAACAAAACAAACAATTCACCTAAGAAAAACATTCTCCACCCTTCTCTCTGCAGACTAACTTTACAAGAAAAATGGCAATTTTTCTAATTTGCAACTAGCGAGTTTTCAAACTCCTCATACAATAAGTCTAACTGCATTACTTCTATTAGTTTATCTATAATGTTATTTTCTACTAGTGTTTCTACTAGAAAATACGTCTTTGCTTCAATTTTGATTTCCTCTTAACACTTCCAAAGAATAAAGAAATAGTTTTTTAACAGTGAAACTTATGAGAAGCTTCCAGCAATAGTGTCTCTTCCCTGCTCAGGAAAGCCTCTGGCATGGCAGGCTTCCATCTTCCTGAATAGCAGAAACCAATCATACATGATTTTTATTCCATTTTATTTTGTTTTCAGTTTTTATGTAAAATTTTAAAAACATAAATGTGTTCCTCAAATATATCTGTACAGTGTGTTTAATCCCAAGTGACACCAAATCAAATTGAGTTCGGTGCTTGAGTAAGACTCCACTGGCAGACTGATGCTTGAGACAAAATGTAACAAAATTGCTTCACTTTGTTGACTCTACCATTTCCACAACATTTGTTCATAAGATCTTATTTTCCCAAAAGCAACTGGAGGGATACTAGCACTGTGCAGAACATCCTTAAATAAAGGCTAAATCAGGAGGAGAACAAGCTTAAGGGTAATATCTCAGATACTGCTTCACATGGTGTAAATTTATATTTTATGTTTATAATTATAATATATGTTAACTGATAAATGGGCCTTTTTCATATTAACTGAAAAAGTATTGTTCACATTTTCAACTCTATTGCTAATGGTGGTTTGCTGATGCATTTTTTGATCTTAAGAACAAAAAAAGTTTTCATCTGAGGATAGAAAGTTATGAAAGTGTGTTGCTTTTAAATTCTATTTGACCAGTTCTTAAGTTACTAGCTTCATTAGTTTAATGACTAACCAGGAAGCACTGGTACAGTTTCCTAATAGAAAGCAAATTTATTCATGTTTGAGCTTATGAAGGAGGTATGCTAACCTGAGTCAAAGAAGCGTTAAAAGCACATATTGAACTATCTAAAAATGTTTAGGTAAATACTTTTGCAAATGAGTAAGACTGTAGTATTTACCAAAGGAAAGTAAATACATTGGTACAAATTAAAAAAGTACAATCATAGACATTAATATTGTATTAAAATATATTTATATGTTTACAAAAAGACACAATTTAAAACATTCACCCTTTGTGTCACTATTAATTTTAACTTTTATTTACAGTCATATTGTAAATCTAAACATGCTTTAAATGTAATCTTTTAAAAATGTATCTAAAAGAATCATTTGTAAATAAAATTTTGTATCCTCCCCCTCTAAACCATTTCTTGCTCTATGTATAATTTATTTTTTAATTAGATATTTGGAAAATTATGTCAATTAATGACAAAACTGAAACTCTAATGTGGACACTATGAAAGAAGTATAGCCATTTATTGAAGTTAATATATAGGTACAAATATTATGTGAAAATCATGAAGCTATTTAGCTTAGAATGATACATCACTATTTTACATTTAGATTTATTTTTAAACTCTACCACATTGTGCTCTGCCTAGAGACAGAATGTGTGGCAAATAAATATTAAAAGTATTTTATGTAGTTCTTTTATTTCAAGTATTGTCAAATATGAATTTTTAAACACAAAATCAGTAAGAATTATTTTTTTCTTAGAAGAGACACCCTTAATAATTCTTAGAGCATTTAATAATTTTATATATGAAAGACCAATTAAGATTTAAGTTTTCAAGGTAAATATTTCTCAAAATTCAGCAGCATGTATACTTCATATCCTTTGCATTCTATGTAAAAAAAAAGATGGCTTCTCATTATCTTCAATATTTTTATACCTACTTTCAGTAAATAAATAAATTTTCTATCCATTAGTGTTCTAATAGTACCACAATTAAAGATTTGTATGATTTTTTGATTTTCTATTATTCCTAAAATTCATAATTAAAGAAACCAAATATTAAAAAAAACAAATAGACAAAGTATCATTAATTTCTAAAATAAGATCTAAACTACTCAGTTT